AATTTAACAATGCCGCAGACGTGACACTATTCCATAATGCATGATTTCTGATTGGATGAAATTCTTATTCTTTTGTTCCTTTCAATGGCTGCGTTCAGCAGAACGTTTGTTTTGCAACTGTTGGAAATTTCCTTCGCGCTAATTGGATCATACTTTTAGATCTAGAAGAATGGTCCTATCTCACCAGACAATCATAAAACGGTTGCAAAACTGTTGAATCTGCTGAACGCAGCTATTGTACGCAACCCCAAAAGATCAATCACGTGATCAAAATTACTGAATAGCAATCTCACGATGCTCAACGCTTGGCGCTGCTATGTAAAGGTACCTTAATGGCATCTACTGGATCGATAAGTCGAGTACCTGCGCCTAGAGTGTCGCTCGTAGGTTTCGGGATTGTTCCGAGTACGAACGATTTGAGGCGATTCGGATCGACAGCTACGTAATCTATATTATGCTACATTGACTGCATTCAACAAAACACAACGGTTTTGCAACCGTTTTGTGATTGCTGAGATAGGATCATTCTTCTAGATCTAAAAGTATAATCCAATCAGCACCGAAGAAAACGTCCAACAGTTGCGAAATAAACGGTCTGCTGAACGCAGCTACTGTATTACGTTCCTAATTATCGTAATCGCGTGATGTCGGTGATAATGACAGCCAAGCTTCAAGACGACATGAATAGTATACCTCTGGCGGATGACGATCCGCAAGGTGAGAGCGTAGTGTCACCTGAGTCCTGTTTTCGTCGAGATTCCTCTCGACATCGCTCTTTTCTTTCTTTCTCCATTTCATTGACTGATGGAATTATAACCTCACTCATCTCGAACAGTTTACATCATTTATTCCAACGCCTTTGCTCCGAATGTTATTTATTTACGACTAAATTTGCTGACTTAATCTGTCTGCTTCTTATTTTTGTTTCTTTACACATATTATTTTTATTGATATGAGAATTAAACCAGCTGCATCTAACTGTGAACTAGCAATGTAACAACGCCTTCTCCGTTTCTCGGAATTTAAGAAATAGAAATGTAGAGACGTACGATGCGTTCCAATATTCACTATGATCGAAACGCATCCATAGAAATATGAGATATTGGACCTCTTGATTATTTATCTCGCAAATTATTTTTCTTAAAAAAAACTCCTTAAATATAATATTTTGTATAATTTTAAAGGATCGGAAAAAACCTAATTTTTCCGCAGATTTTTTCGGTTTTTTCCCAAGGGTAGAAATATTCATTTGGAAAAAATTCACACGTGCTCGTAAAACCTACTACGTTTGCTTCTCAGTTCTTTCCGTAAAGAAAATAATTGCATATAGGGTACACAGCGGGAGTAGATAAGTTAACAGAAATTTTGAAATTGTATAAAAGATTGAGGTCGCATAATGTATTCGATAAAAGCATACAAAACACTATTGCACCATTAATGTAAGAATTAAAAATTACTTAAGCTTTGCCATGTACTAAAGGATTAGTTAGGTTAGATTAGGTTTTACTATAAAAATAGAAGGATAACTAAAAAGTTTTAATAAAAATAATGCTACATGATTTCATAGATCGCATTAATTTTATAAAGGAATTTAGAAGTTACTTATTATGTCTTTTACATAGCAAAAACAGCAATTTTTCGGGAAAAAAACCGAAATTTTTCCGGTTTTTTTCCAGCAATTTGAAAAAAGTGGCTTTTTTAAAATTTACTATAATATTTTGTACATTTTATACATTTAACAATTTGCTTGTGCTTTGATAATAATGAATCTCTTTTTTTTTATTCCCCATTGTTGGCGTTTAATATTTTACTCTAATTTTATTTTTCACATACATATACCATATATGTATATATTATATATTTATAGTAATAATACCAGAAGAGGAAATCTTGGACAATGCCTCACATATATCTGATCCGCTAGGCAGAGGACGCAGCATGGATTCTATACCATCGACATTTACTAATGGCAGCTGTAGTCCTAACAGTAAGTGATATTATGATTTGTTCTTTCATTGTAATATGTATAGTTTTTGTATTGTTTGTCTTTTTACAACTAAATATACAAAGGAATATCAGCTTATTTTGTATTTATAAATTGAACAAAATAATATTAAATACGCGATATTTTGACTTCTATTATCAGATTATTATATACAGTTAAATAAAAATTTGCTTTTATAAATGATTGTAGTACTGTCAAATTGAAATAGTTTATAAAATAATTTTTATTTATTTTATTGTAGGTTTAGATCCTGATATTAGCCCAGACGAGCAAGAAGAGAAAGCTAGATTGATTGCACAGGTTCTCGAATTGCAAAATACTTTGGATGGTAGATATATATTTCAGTAAAAATTAAGGTTACAGGAGAATATCCCTATTGGCGTTTTTGTAATGTGCAAATATATGTGTTTTGTCTAGATCTGTCACAGAGAGTGGACAGCGTAAAGGAAGAGAATCTCAAGCTGAGAAGTGAAAATCAGGTTCTGAGCCAGTACATTGAGAATTTAATGTCTGCATCGAGCGTATTTCAGTCGACAAGTCCCAATATCAAAAAGAAGTGAACCATACCATATTAATCAAATAATTAGACAATTTTTATGAAAACAAACTGCAGTAATTTTGAAGTACAATAGTTACGATTGTTTTGAGTATTTTGGAAAGTATCAGCATGCATAAATTTTATTCCGATTTACATTTATCAAAAAGTAACGCAAAAATTCTAAGTCTTGATATTTGATGCTTAATTTGCCTTCGTTAGCTTGTATACACTTTTTATGAAAAAAGATTTTGACAATTCACGTGTTTTTTTTTTTAATGTAACACTACAATGCATTCTGTGACTGTGACTTATGAAACACGCTTATAATTATAATTGTATGAGCCAAAGAGATCCATTTTATACTTCTACAATTTTTATAAACGTATTTCGCAAATTTTTTTTAGGTAGATGTTTGTTAAGTAAAGATTAATTATTTTACTGCAATTTTATGTTAATTTATATTAATTTTCTTTAAATTAAGATTAGGTTATTTTCTATTAAATTAATGCACGTAACAGTACTAATACTACTAATATATATTTTTTATCCTGTATATAACAACGTTATTTAGTTCAAGCATTGTGTTTGTGTTTGAAGTAAATAATATACATGAAGCCAAGTTGAAATATTTTTAAATAATTTAATATTTATTTATTTTTAATTTTTTGTATACATTTCTTATACTCTGTTAATTTTAATTAATAGATTTTTTTTATACAATTACAATTACGAATTCATCTCTCTTTCATACATTTGCAAAGCTGGGTATTAAAACGTTTGAAGCCATATATATATTTCATTGAGGTATTTGCTTCTTTAATAGAAAATTCTTGCTTGCAACATTTTGATGTATTTATATATACGCATTATATATAGATATATAAGAGATAATGTATAGAATATACAAGAGATATATAAGGGATAATGTATAAGAATATAAGATTATGTACAATTTTTTGAAATACGTTATAATTGATGACGTATTGACGAAAAGCTAATGTTTATGCATATGATATAAGCAAAATAATCATATAATTTCTGCTATTTACGAAACGATTCAAGTACACGTAAGCACTCGTCTTACTTAATGATTTGATGTACCGATTGACATGTAATAACAAATATGTATCTTACGAATAAGAAATTGCAACTTGCAAGTTTTAGTTTAAGTATACAAAAAGAGTGCACAATCCCAAATTTGAGTATCCCATTATGTTGAGTAACAGTGTTATAATAAACATTATATTCTATTGGAACATTACTGTTCGATGATTATCGATTCCTCGTCTGAATGATTCTCTTATTATACGACATCATCGGAGCTCATAGAACACTCGTTCATCACCATCCTGAATTTCTTTCCGAGAAAGTTTACGTAACGAATGAATTATTGGAAATAAGAGGCATATATGTGTGTATATATATATATATATATATATACCCTATAAAGCGTGTTTGTATCTTTAAAGTTTCAGATTAATCAATTAATCTTCTTGAATAGCCGAAAATTGTATAGCCTTTTGTCCCCAAAATGTTTTCGACCCAGGCTTTGTTCGTCCATTTTTCTTTATTCCTATCCACCATCCATATTGTACGTATTTACGCGATCTGAACGCGTCGTAGGAACCAATACTCCATTGTTCCCATTCGGTATTTTCATTAGTCATATTTATCTAAAACCAAAATTAGACAAATTAGATTTACAATCGATCTGGATTTTAAGATATATAATATTTAGAGGTATAATTATTAAAAATATTATCTATATAGAATTAAATGAGAGAAATTATTGTAAGAATTAGAACGTTGTGAAAAGGTCACAAAGGAATTTCACGTGGAACTTCATGTGGAATTTCATAGTGCTATATATTATAAAATTTTTCGGATTTGAATAGCATAGCACAACGACAACTCGTGCTAACTGTATTGTTCTACATTTCTTTCATTGTAAAAGCTTCTTTCGTAATATAATGAAAATTTGCAGAGAGTTTTATTCGCTTCTTCATTTTTATATTATAGTTTCATATTAATTTTCTTTTGCCATCTTACCTCTCCGTACAACCGCCCTTTCTTGTTGAAAGCCAAATACAGCCTCGTTTCGATGCTTTGTATTCTAATAACGCCAAAAGATACCGGTGTTGCGTAAAGCAGATCTGCAAGAGTGTGTATATGTGTATACACACACACACACACACACACACACACAAATATATATATATATGCTTTTGTGTGTGTGTGTGTGTGTGTGTGTGTGTGTGTGTAATAAAAATCTTTTTTAACAGTGATTGTATGTTGTAAAATACATATGTAACATATATACATATATTGCAAACTTTTTTATTTTACTTGACTTTAGTATTTAACAAGTGTGATGGAAATATACCATATGGCTCCTTATTTCCGGATAATCCTTCTACTCGTCCCGACGGCGTAATTGCTAGATGATATCCAGTGCGACAGTACAACTTAATTATCCGGCAATTATAGATAGGATTTTTTGCTGGTTGTCGTGGATCCCATATTACGTAAGGTGTGTACTGGAGTGATTTGCAGTTACGTTTATTGTTGCGTGGCGTTCTACAATTGCAATCAAATAGTCCATGGATTATCGACGTATCGTTACATGTTATGTAACGTGAGCAGAAATAGGAAATAAACTTGTGAATTTCTAATGAAAAGTTCGAATTTTTGTCAAAGCATATACAAGCCTCAACAGTATCATAACGAATTAGTTTCACTAGATATTATTAATACAGGACATTTAATGCATTTTGAAAAATATTCTTTTATACACGCGAATTAATTTTAATAAAAATATTAACAATAATTGAGGGGATTGGCGAAATAAAGGCACAATTCTACTTAGGCCCTTTTTTCGGAGATTAGCGCAAATAAACGAAGAATTGATGTTGCTTACATTAGTTAAATATGAAGGTGTTTCGATTGTCCTGTGGTGTTGAAAATGATATAATCTATGGAAAAAGGGTATAAATGATTTAAAACTGTTAATGAGATTTTTACCAGAGACTGAATGAAAATGGTACGACAATAATGTGTTTTCATTACAATATATTTGTTAAAAAATCTTACGAAAACTCACCAGATGATGATTGAACATTATTTCAATTTATTTTGTACAAATAAAAGTAAAATGTATATATATTTCATATTCATTTTATATTCCTTCCAGAAGAATGTGAAAATAAAAAACTTTTCTGCTGTTCAGTTTTTTCTTTCTGTCGATTCTTGCAATATTATAATCAATATTCGGAAAAAGGGACTAAGTGCATTTTTTTAAATTGCAAATAACTTTTTAAATATTGATCATAACAGAGAAATATTATAACATGTAACTTCTCAAAGACATTATATAAATATATATTTAATACTGTTCCCATTTGTGGTATAATAAAAAAGTAATACGTTATTTTAATTTTTATCAAAATCAAGATTTTGTAATTAGGCCTTTATTCCGTCCATCCCCTCAATTATAAGTATCTCTCACCGATAATTAACTGAAAGTAAATTCTTTTTAAATGCTAAATTAACTTTGACGGAACTTTATTTCTATTGTGAACGCTAAATTAATATTTTATTGTTTCAATATTTTATGCATTTTTAACATAGTATAGTCTTGACATAATTCTCTTCTGACGTAGGTACTACACTTCTTAAGCCATTAGACGTTAGGGTTTTCTTTGTTACTGCAAAGGTTGTTTGTACATTTATATACACGCTGCAAAATACATATATAGGCCAATTTTTCCAGGTCAGCAAGCCCCGTGAATGAAGCACACCACGCGATATCGTAGGCGTTCTCCCGTACGTACTTTGTTAATTTTAAACCGATTCTCGGGGAAGAGGAAACGAAATGTCAATAGGCTTTGTTCGAGATTATAGTTACGCGAACAGCTCAGTCGCCATCAGAAGACGTACGTTAATACGATTAATTTTACATGCTTTCAATTATGTATAGTCATGCGATATATTCATTGCAATAATATTACGTGTAAATAAAATTAATTTCTATGCGAAAATATTGAATGTTTATACATTTTAGAGGAAATTATCAAAATTGTTCTTGAATAGTTTTTTTTTTTTGCTTAAAAACGAACAGTAAGTTTCTTTTCCTCTGTTTCTTATTCTTTAAAGAAATTTCTTTACAGAAAAAAAGATCTCACTTATAAAAGATACGTCCCGAGCAACACAATTCATTGGCGAAACATTTGTTAAACGTTGGCATACATTGGGGATACGTTGGGCCAATGTTGTGCCGATGAACTAATATTGTGCTACTAGGGATATTAATTTGATGCAATTATTTTTCTTTATATATTATATGCATATATGTATATGCACACACATATATACTTTGCCTTTGTTTATTAAAAAAAACTTGTATTTATATTTATATTTTTTAGATAAATATCGCGAAATGTCAAGAAAAAGGTACTTTTTATTCAGCGTATCTTTATCGTCAAATTATTTTATTTCCATCCTATAAGCATAAACCATGCACGAATATATAATTGCTACATAAAGATGTAAATTGATATATATTTCGTATATGTTATATATAACAATTATATCTATTTACTGGGGTACAGCCTGCGACTACGTGTATAATTTTTAAAAATAATTTCAATCAACTATATTGAAACGACTACAAAAAGTAATAACTATGCGGATATTGTAGATTAATCTAATTCTCTACACCGAGAAAAATGTCTGATTAGATTAATAGGAATTCTGATTGGAAATGGACAAATTAAAATTTTCTGGTTAAATTCTAAAATTCTAATTGTGTGATAACCGAAATTTTGATTGGTGTAATCATAACTTTCTGATTCGTCTATTTTTATCTAAACATTTTTCTCAATGTACAATATTATTTTCTTAATATTCAACTTACTAATTCTTAAATATATTCAACTTAACTAAAACTCTTTCTCCGCGTAAAGTAGAACCTTTCTTTCAACACACAGGAGAGAACGTGACAAAGATAATTCGATCTTCCCTGTTCTCACAAATTCGGACGAAATTTTATTTCTATCGTAAATGTGACGTGCGTAGCTGTCATCGCATATGGAATTGTAGTCGCGACGCCTCACGACGTCGAGCGAACTCGTTTGATACCGTTAATAACGTAAACTACATGTGCACCTCCTGACCCTGTGGCGATA